AATTCAAAATGATCTGGACAAGTTGGAGAAATGGTCTGAGGTAAATAGGATGAAGTTTAATAAAGAGAAATGCAAAGTGCTCCACTTAGGAAGGAACAATCAGTTTCATACATACAGAATGGGAAGCGACTGTCTGGGAAGGAGTACGGCAGAAAGGGATCTAGGGGTTATAGTGGACCACAAGTTGAATATGAGTCAGCAGTGTGATGCCGTTGCAAAGAAAGCAAACATAATTCTGAGATGCATTAACAGGGGTGTTGTGAGCAAGACATGAGAAGTCATTCTTCCGCTCTACTCTGCGCTGGTTAGGCCTCAATTGGAGTATTGTGTTCAGTTCTGAGCACCGCATTTCAAGAAAGATGTGGAGAAATTGGAGAGGGTCCAGAGAAGAGCAACGAGAATGATGAAAGGTCTAGAGAACATGACCTATGAGGGAAGGCTGAAAGAATTGGGTTTGTTTAGTTTAGAAAAGAGAAGATTGAGGGGGGACACGATAGCCGTTTTCAGGTATCTAAAAGGGTGTCATAAGGAGGAGGGAGAAAACTTGTTCATCTTGGCCTCTGGGGATAGAACAAGAAGCAATGGGCTTAAACTGCAGCAAGGGAGGTTTAGGTTGGACATTAGGAAAAAGTTCCTAACAGTCAGGGAGGTTAAACACTGGAATAAGTTGCCCAGGGAGGTTGTGGAATCTCCATCTGTGGAGATATTTAAGAGCAGGTTAGATAAATGTCTATCAGGGATGGTCTAGTCAGTATTTGGTCCTGCCATGAGGGCAGGGGACTGGACTCGATGACCTCTCGAGGTCCCTTCCAGTTCTAGTGTTCTATGATTCTATGATATTTCCTGCCACACAATACCCTCTAAAATTACATATGTGGTTTTGTTTCTTTGGTTTCTTTTCCTCTGAATTCAGTGATTAAGTCTCTTCTTGTGGTTAAGATCTCCCATTTCAATTGTTCTTACTCAGTAGCTGTGAATCACTGGCAAAGGAATCTTGAATACTGAAATGTCCTTAACTGCACAAACCAGCACCACTAATTGCGTTTTGATGGAATAATATTTTTTCCCTCCGCACCAAGTGCAGCTTGCAAGTTTTGCTGTCTTGGATCTGTAATATGGACCACGGCAAACACGCAGTTGTTTTTAATAGATCACTCTGTAGTGTAAGCAAAGCACCGTATGACAGTCTTCCTGGTAATACCATGACATCTGCAAGGGGCTCATCTCCCGCATTTTACAACTAACGTGGGGTTTCTTAGTCAATTCAAGCAGGAGAGACGCAGAGCTTACAGAGTAAATGGAGCAAGGATGTGTCATTTTGAGGGTCACTGTGTGGGCACAGCCACAGTTTAAGGGGAGGATCTTTACCCAAGCACTTGGTGGTTCCCATGTCACTTTTTCCCTTCTTTGTGTGCTCTTTAAAAAGTTTTTAGCGCTGGTGGCCTGGTGCTAGGCTCACCCCAAGGAAAGGCTCAGCACCGCCTGTGAGCTGAGATGGCAGATCACTTCCCAAAGCCGTTCAGGGCTGTCAACAGGAGTGCCAAAGGACTCGTCTGTTCACCCATTTCAGGATGCAGGGCAGTAAAACAACCCTCCTCCGCTGCTGCTGCCCTGGTCAGCGTTCAGCTGTACCCAGAGCCTTCCGCTGGCTTATCAGCCCATGGGCCGCCGTCCCTCCTCCTCACCCAAGAGCAATGCCCTGACAGCAGTTCCGGAAGGGGTGATGCCAACATGTGACCCCCAACTTTTTAGTTACCGCCGCTATCTGCCCTCACTCCACTGCACACGTTCATTCACATGCCTACAGGGGTTAGCCCCACTCCTCCTGACCCCCGCTAACATTGGGGCCCTGGTGCTGTTCTCAGCCCCTTTGGGGCCTCCCGAAGAATATAAAGGGAGCAGGGGAAACAGGATGGAAAATCCTGGCGTGGGGACAGGATTTCACTGCCTGTCTTTGATCCCCTTGGTGCGGGTGTGGGGAGAGACTAGTGTTTTAATAGCAGGGGGCCCGATCCTCACCAGTGCAGTTCCTCTGACTTCACTGGAGGGATGCGAAGGGTTAACCAGTTAGTGGGTGATGCTTACGGACTCCAGTTGGCCAGGCGGGATGGAGCTGCCCGGGTGGGAGGAAGCGGGGACTCCAGCCCAGCAAATCCCTCCAAACCCCCTTTAATCAGTTAACTGGTTAAATATAACATTTGATCTGTGAACCAATTAAACAGGATTTTGCATCCCTACCTCGCTGACAGGTGCGCCTAGGCTAGGTGAGCCCCCGGGGGCAAGCCAGCTCCTGGCAAAAAGGGGGTCAGGATACACCCGGGAGAGCGGGATGCTACTCCCGGGATCCCGCTGCCAGGGAAGATCCTGCTGCCAATGGGAAGACCCTTGCTCGGGCACGCAGGGGGCAAGCCAGCTCCTGGCAAGAAGGGGAGTCAGGCTACCCCAGGGGAGCGGGATGCTACTCCCGGGATCCCGCTGCCAGGGAAGATCCTGCTGCCAATGGGAAGACCCTTGCTCGGGGCCCGCAGGGGGCAAGCCAGCTCCTGGCAAGAAGGGGAGTCAGGCTACCCCAGGGGAGCGGGATGCTACTCCCGGGATCCCGCTGCCAGGGAAGATCCTGCTGCCAATGGGAAGACCCTTGCTCGGGGCCCGCAGGGGGCAAGCCAGCTCCTGGCAAGAAGGGGAGTCAGGCTACCCCAGGGGAGCGGGATGCTACTCCCGGGATCCCGCTGCCAGGGAAGATCCTGCTGCCAATGGGAAGACCCTTGCTCGGGGCCCGCAGGGGGCAAGCCAGCTCCTGGCAAGAAGGGGAGTCAGGCTACCCCAGGGGAGCGGGATGCTACTCCCGGGATCCCGCTGCCAGGGAAGATCCTGCTGCCAATGGGAAGACCCTTGCTCGGGGCCCGCAGGGGGCAAGCCAGCTCCTGGCAAGAAGGGGAGTCAGGCTACCCCAGGGGAGCGGGATGCTACTCCCGGGATCCCGCTGCCAGGGAAGATCCTGCTGCCAATGGGAAGACCCTTGCTCGGGGCCCGCAGGGGGCAAGCCAGCTCCTGGCAAGAAGGGGAGTCAGGCTACCCCAGGGGAGCGGGATGCTACTCCCGGGATCCCGCTGCCAGGGAAGATCCTGCTGCCAATGGGAAGACCCTTGCTCGGGGCCCGCAGGGGGCAAGCCAGCTCCTGGCAAGAAGGGGAGTCAGGCTACCCCAGGGGAGCGGGATGCTACTCCCGGGATCCCGCTGCCAGGGAAGATCCTGCTGCCAATGGGAAGACCCTTGCTCGGGGCCCGCAGGGGGCAAGCCAGCTCCTGGCAAGAAGGGGAGTCAGGCTACCCCAGGGGAGCGGGATGCTACTCCCGGGATCCCGCTGCCAGGGAAGATCCTGCTGCCAATGGGAAGACCCTTGCTCGGGGCCCGCAGGGGGCAAGCCAGCTCCTGGCAAGAAGGGGAGTCAGGCTACCCCAGGGGAGCGGGATGCTACTCCCGGGATCCCGCTGCCAGGGAAGATCCTGCTGCCAATGGGAAGACCCTTGCTCGGGGCCCGCAGGGGGCAAGCCAGCTCCTGGCAAGAAGGGGAGTCAGGCTACCCCAGGGGAGCGGGATGCTACTCCCGGGATCCCGCTGCCAGGGAAGATCCTGCTGCCAATGGGAAGACCCTTGCTCGGGGCCCGCAGGGGGCAAGCCAGCTCCTGGCAAGAAGGGGAGTCAGGCTACCCCAGGGGAGCGGGATGCTACTCCCGGGATCCCGCTGCCAGGGAAGATCCTGCTGCCAATGGGAAGACCCTTGCTCGGGGCCCGCAGGGGGCAAGCCAGCTCCTGGCAAGAAGGGGAGTCAGGCTACCCCAGGGGAGCGGGATGCTACTCCCGGGATCCCGCTGCCAGGGAAGATCCTGCTGCCAATGGGAAGACCCTTGCTCGGGGCCCGCAGGGGGCAAGCCAGCTCCTGGCAAGAAGGGGAGTCAGGCTACCCCAGGGGAGCGGGATGCTACTCCCGGGATCCCGCTGCCAGGGAAGATCCTGCTGCCAATGGGAAGACCCTTGCTCGGGGCCCGCAGGGGGCAAGCCAGCTCCTGGCAAGAAGGGGAGTCAGGCTACCCCAGGGGAGCGGGATGCTACTCCCGGGATCCCGCTGCCAGGGAAGATCCTGCTGCCAATGGGAAGACCCTTGCTCGGGGCCCGCAGGGGGCAAGCCAGCTCCTGGCAAGAAGGGGAGTCAGGCTACCCCAGGGGAGCGGGATGCTACTCCCGGGATCCCGCTGCCAGGGAAGATCCTGCTGCCAATGGGAAGACCCTTGCTCGGGGCCCGCAGGGGGCAAGCCAGCTCCTGGCAAGAAGGGGAGTCAGGCTACCCCAGGGGAGCGGGATGCTACTCCCGGGATCCCGCTGCCAGGGAAGATCCTGCTGCCAATGGGAAGACCCTTGCTCGGGGCCCGCAGGGGGCAAGCCAGCTCCTGGCAAGAAGGGGAGTCAGGCTACCCCAGGGGAGCGGGATGCTACTCCCGGGATCCCGCTGCCAGGGAAGATCCTGCTGCCAATGGGAAGACCCTTGCTCGGGGCCCGCAGGGGGCAAGCCAGCTCCTGGCAAGAAGGGGAGTCAGGCTACCCCAGGGGAGCGGGATGCTACTCCCGGGATCCCGCTGCCAGGGAAGATCCTGCTGCCAATGGGAAGACCCTTGCTCGGGGCCCGCAGGGGGCAAGCCAGCTCCTGGCAAGAAGGGGAGTCAGGCTACCCCAGGGGAGCGGGATGCTACTCCCGGGATCCCGCTGCCAGGGAAGATCCTGCTGCCAATGGGAAGACCCTTGCTGGGGCGCGCTGGGGCTCAGGACCCTCCCCGGGTAGGGGCGCGCGTCGGGGGCCCCCTCCCCTCTCAGGCTCGGGGCCGGTACTCACGACGAGGGGCAGCGAGCAGACGGCGAAGAGGACGGTCATGAGGGCCAGCAGGACGAGGTAGGGGCGCGCGTCGGGGGCCCCCTCCCCTCTCAGGCTCGGGGCCGGTACTCACGACGAGGGGCAGCGAGCAGACGGCGAAGAGGACGGTCATGAGGGCCAGCAGGACGAGGTGGTCCAGCTCCTCCATGCGCGGCGGGGCGTCGGCGGGGCAGGCGGAGGCGCAGCTGCGGCGGTGGGGCCGGCGGGCCATGCGGTAGAGGCTGCGCATGCTGGCCAGGTTGCAGAGCCCGATGGCCAGCC